GCCCGGGTCGAGCCCGGCTCGCCGAGATGGGTTGTTGTCGATCTCTTGCCGGCTGTAGTACCATTTGTTATTACAGCTAGCGGAGACACAACGAAGCGAAGCCGCCATCACTGACGAGGGAGGGGGGGACACTAGTTTAAAAATTGCAGCGCGTCACCGGAAGTGCGTCATGCGCCAACATGCCCCCCCCCCCGACGTGGAGGTGCGCTTTCCTCGAGGTCGACAGCAGGTGCCAAGAAAAATCAAGGCAGAAACACCCCCTCCCCACCACCACCTTATTCATACAGTGGACCCCGCATACCTAGTCGCGAATCCTCCCCTTCCCCCAAAACCCTTTTTTTTAAATATTGTGGGGTTTTTTAGGGGGGGGGGGGGTTGGGAGGGGATGATCCACTTTTCATAAAAACGCTTAATGGCAGTATTTCCCCAGCTTATTCGAGAATTTGGGGGGTTCATTATTTTCTCCCCTCAATGTAATTAAAACGGACGTCAATTAATGGCAGATTTTTGCTCTTCGCGGGCCAGCCCATTGCTGCAAATAGCAGGCGTCTCCTATACTGCTTTAAGTCGAGGGGTGTACTTGGATGAACTTAGTATGACAAGATTTTCATTTTGATTCACCAGACAAAGGGCGGCCGTGTACGACCGGTTAGCGCGTTGGGCTCACAGTGCGGAGGTGCAAGATTCCATTCCGGCTCCGGCCTCCCCGTGCCCGCGTGGGTTTTCTCCAGGTACTCCGGTTTCCTCCCACATTCCCAAAAACATGCGTGGCAGGTTAATGGAACACTCCAAATTGTCCCGCAGTGCGAGTGCGAGCGCGGTTGGTTGTTGGTCTTTGTGTGCCCGGTGGTTGGCTGGCTGGCAACCGGTTCAGGGTGTCCCCCGCCTACTGCCCGAAGACAGCGGGGATAGGCTCCGGCATGCCCCTTCTGAGAAGAAGCGGATCAGAAAACGGATGGATGGATCACCAGCCAAATAAGGCTATTGACACTGCAGCTCAATTTCCGTCTTTTTTTAAGCAGTGTAAACGGTACAATTCTCATCTTTTAAAATCCGACCTAGTGGTCCATCATCTGTGACTATATATCGGATATGTATGCAAAGTGTCTGCGTTGTTAAGGCTCGTCCGCACAGATTGGCCCTGTACGTCGCCAAAAGCTCAAGATGCGACTGTGCGGGTGAGAGACAATGCTCGGGAGACGACTGATGATCGTCCACAATGCTGTCAAGTTGCCTTTATAATTGACTTGAATCATAAAGCATCAAGTTGACATACGTGGTGGGAATAGTATGCGATGGCTGTTTGAAAGTGCTCTATAAATACAGTTGAGTTGAGAATAGTAATTCAGCGCCGCAAGTTCATTCTTTTGTTACACCCTGCAACCCAGTGGCCCGCCTCGCTACTCTGGCGATAAGATGAGCCCTGCGACCAGATTTGCTTCTCAACACTGTGTCGCATGACGTTTCTTTTTTTTTTTTTTTCCCCCCTTTGAAATGAGCCCCAAGACCCGATGTACTTGTGTCAACACTGCGTCACATGAGGTGGGGTCTTTTGTTTTTTGGGTGCACGTCACCGGACGGCATCCTTAGCGCGCATGCGTGTCACATCACGGACGCGTCGCGTCTCATGTGCTCTCGTGACAGTTTGGTGTCCACGACGCGCAAGCGATTGGAAGCATTCGGAATCCGAATACGAAAGAACAGCGCTGAGACGATCGCGATACGTTGCCGATAACTTGGGCCAAATACTGCCTGCAAACACAGAGCGGATCCAACAAAAGGAAGCCAGTCTCAGAAAGATGAAAACTTGATATTTTATCAAATGAACAGACAAGTGAAGCGGTGAACCAAGCGGTTACAGGAGTCAAATGTACAAATTCAACACAAATAAAACATGACAGAGTTTCATCCTAACGAGTCATTCTTTGAAAACAGTTTCGGCATTTGCTTCGTGAAAAAATGAAGCCTCGTTCGCTTCATTTCCACAAGCGGTCTGAATCGATGACGCCGTTTCAAGTTCCCTGGCCAAATGTTCCAATTTCCCCATGATGTTCACTGTCATGAGAAGTTGAAGTTTTTGTTTCAATTTTTTTTTTGGGGGGGGGCTTGCCACAATGAACACGAAATTTCTGGGTGGCATATTAAAAAAGAAGTCAACTCTCAAAATGCCCGAAAAGTGTCAATCTGGACGTGCTCAGACTGCCCTTTCCTTATTATCAGGCTGCTGGAAGGGGGCGGGGGAGTCCAACATGTTTTGAAGCACTACGATGCCCATTTTTGGGAGCTTTTTGTCCCAAACTGCCGCTAGACAGACACCGGCGCTTGGGGACGTGTTTGAGATTGCGCTCTTTCAGAGAGATCGAGAAGATTTGACAATATCAAAAAACAGGCAACAAAATAGCAAAGACAAACTTAAGTCATCAGTCATGGCCACTCAATACAATATGTCTGATATTTGTCAAAAATATATGCATCCTTTTTTTCCCTTCAATTTCTGCATGACATCTCATCACAGCGTAACACTTCTGGGTTCCAAAACCTCTCCAAACATTTCTTTTTCAATTTGATTACCAAGGTCACAGTTGAAGACCTTTGCCATCACTTAGAAACATGGTGATTGAAAATGTAAAAAAAAAAAAAACAAACAAACCCAAAAACACCCACTATACTATTCCAAATCGAGCGGCACGCTTCAGTTTCTTTGCCTGTGAAGAAGGGGAAAAAATGTGGCATCAATACACAAGATGAAGAGACTCAGCGGGGGGGCGGACGAGAGCCTCGACTCGACTATTTGCTGTGCACTGTGTCACAAATTGCCCAAATCGCCCATCGGCCTATTTTGGAGACGGCAACAAAGTTCTGGCGAACGGGAAAGCGGTCACGGGTGCGAAGGAAGGAGGAATCGTCATTGTTCCAGGAGAGTCAAGTTTCGCCTGCTTTGTTAGCGTCTCGCTCTCCCGGGGGATGCCGAGTCGCACCCGATGCCAACCGGGAGACCGGGCCTCCCCGGACAGCGGCCAAAATGCTCGCAAACGCGGCCCGGTTTTTGGTTTTATCGGGCCGCAATGAGCAAGCCGTTATGCTCGATGACGTCAGCCTAGACAACCGCACATCAGCAAAGACGGACGGCCGGGCCGCATCTCCTCGAAAAAGGCTGCGACCAAATCCTATGCACTGCGACACACTTTTTCCGCTTGGCTTAGTTTTTAGTGCTGCCGGTGCTAAAGTTTTTTAAACCTTCTCGTTTCTTTTAAGTGCAACAATGTCAAAAGGGGACGTGAAATCAAGTGTTTTAGGCTCATCATTGGCGGTATATTTACAGTTTCAACCATGCGGGAAAAAAACAACGGGAAGCTACCTCGACGTCCGCTGAGCCGGCCGCTCCGCCGCCTGTGAGGATGCCGAACCTTTCCTTCCTCTTCATCAGCTTCTCGTCTGCTTCCAGCTGCCGCCACCGCCGACAACGACAGAAAGACAACAAGTGGCCTTTAAGACTCAATCTCCAAATAAACTCTAAGCTTTTGTTACGAGCTGAATTCCTTTCCGGAAGCAGCCCCCAACTTGATTTACTCATCTATTTTGCCCGTGGAAATGAATGGAATTGGCAACATGTGTTCTGGTGCCGCCCCCACCCCCAAAAAAAGAACAAGTTTGTTCCCGGAAATAAGAAAAATAGCGGTGCATTGTACAAAGATAAAAAGGAAATATAAAGACATAAGATGATCTCACTAGAAAGTGTAATTGTGTGTCGCATATGTCCTATTGTATGTGTGCCTTGAAGGGGCGTGGCCTGGTGAGGGATACCACGAGCTAAAGTAAGACAGTCGGCCACTCATCCTGGCACGTTGCGCAATTCAGCACAACGGCGATGCGAACCCCTCCTACAAGATGTTGGACCGGAGCACTTTTTGAAATCCATCAAAGGGGCCGTGTCAGTCAAGGAAGACGGACAGGTCGGTTGCTCCAGAAGAATGACACGAGTGAGAAAGAAAGATGGGGGGGGGGGGATATGTTGACAGGCATCGCTTGCTCCCCCTCATTCGAACGAAAGCCGTGCCGTGCGTACGCCACTTGTGAATGCCAGTGGCGACTGGAGTTCTGTTGCAATGATGGGCGGGTGTAGGGATCAGAGCGACACTCCTACTTCTCTTGATCGATTGTGATCTTTTGTTTGTTTCGGAATGCGCCCCGTAAACCGTTTGTACGGGTCGTGTGCCGAAATAAACCTCCCGATTGATTCTGCGCTGTTAAATTGGGTGCGGAAAATACGCGGGCGGGAAACCTTGGGACACCGGTAGCGCCCACCTTTTGCGAGAGCGACGAGACGTTCATGCCAAATCTCTCCGCCCTCTTCTTCAGCTGGTCCACGTTGACCTGTGACAGATGGCAAAAGGATTCCCGCGTCAGGGGAAGGGTGCCGACGCATGGGGGGGGGGCGCTTGCTCGGGGCGGCGTGAAGCGCGGCGGCTCTTACCGGCACGTTTCTGGTCAAGGCGGCGCCTGTGCAGAAGGAAAGGATTGATGTTGCGCGGCACTTGGACATGACGGACGGCGGCGTGGCGCCCAAGAGTCATCATACGCACCTGTGGATGCATCTGAAGCGCTGATCGCTAAACCAAACCTAGAAATGCAAACAAGAGCAAACACCCTGTTAGGTCAGGAAAAAACAAAACTTTACACGATTGACCTTAACATTTGGATTGTGCGGTACAAAAAAAGAAAGAAACAAAGGCAGTCTAAGGAACAATCCATGTCCGAGAGGAAAGTCCCCTAAGTGAAGTTCCATCAGTAGCACCCACGACAAATGAAGAACGAACAGGCGTCATCCGCCATCCAAAGTACAACACTTGCGGAATAGAAAAGACGTCCATATTGGCAGTTTCCGTCGCCAATTGCTCTTCCCATGTACACACATCTTATTTCTTGAAACACAACAATCACCGCAACATTGTCCTTTATTGTGGAAAAAAATCCAAGTTTGCATCAATGTTTTTTTTTTGGAGGGGGTCATGGGGGGGGTCGTTCCACAAAAAGAGAATAGTGAGAAATACCGATCACAAAATTAAAAAAGCTTAATGAAAAGGGCTCGTTTCCTCGATCATGTCATTTTGCTTTTATTGTGCCAAATCGTTGGGCTCATATCGATATGGAACGCGGCGGTCCAAAAAAAAAAAAAAAAAAAACGGATGCTGACGCAGCTATGAAGTACACTTGAATGTTGCGTGGTGAGCTTCTTGGATGGTAAATGTTCAAGTCGACTGGCCGCAATCCGCATGTAAATGGCAATTCTGCTTCCCGTTTGCCACTTCGACCCAACTGCGACTTGAAGCGAAACGGAGGGGTCCCGTCTCAATTCGGTTCGTGGCCGGAAGCGGCGAGCGGCCCGGGTCTCACCTGGCAGCACGGCGGGCCTTCTTGTCTTCGGCCGATGCGGGCAGATTGAAACGCTCGGCGCGTTTCTGGAGCTGCTGCTCAACAAAAAAACGGCGTTTGCTCGTAAATGGGAGGCGGTGCAACAAACGGACAGGGGAAAGACAAAAGAGTCGCGCTGGGCCACACGTACTTCACCGCCTGTCGCCGGAGGACATATCTTCACGATCTTCTTCTCGGCGGACCTGAAAACACAAGCGCGGGAACAAAACGGCATCCAATTTTAGCATTCACTCCTTTGTTAGCCTTGAGCACCCCCATTTTCACATCGTTTCCTGTCTGACGGGACGAGAGCCGACTGGCGCCACGTTGTCGGAAGCCACAAACTACGCGCGCCACCTAGCGGATACACCGCATCGGTCTTGTCGCCCGCCGGGCGGCTGTCTCAACACGCACTGGCCAGAATTGCCTCAGAGTGTGCCAAGCGTGATGCCAAGCGGTTGGCGGCCCTTTTCCACTGTTCGGAATCTGACTTTGTAGAAAAAGTTTGACAAATTTAAAGCGCCCCAACATGTCGGTGCAGCTGAGCGATAGTCAGCGCGGAAGCTCAAGAGCAATCTGAAAATCTTCCCTGTTTTTGGCATTGCGGGACTGCTGGGGGTTCATCGTGTTTCGAAGTCATCGACAGTTACGACTACGCAAACCAGTTAAAAAAAAAAAAAAAAAAAAAAAAAAAACAACAACCAAACTCACAGCTGGGCCACGGGTGATTGCGATTCTTTGACGTCTTTGCCATTGTCCACAATCTCGCCTTTGGGGAAGTCCTACAATGCAAACAGAAAGGGTCGTGATTTTTATACAAGCGCACCATCAAAGCGACATTTTGCCGACTGACTCCATTACCGCGGTATCGTCCGCCAGCACGTCGTCCACGTCCACATCTTCATCTGTGGCTTGCGTGAAAAGACATTCAAGACATAAGACACACCATGTCAATCGGACGTAACCGCCTCCAGAAACTTGTGGCCAAACGAATCCCTTCAAATGAGAGTCAAAGGGAAGAACTTGCTTCTTTCTCCACATATCTCCTCATGCCTTTGCTTTGATCTGCGAGTTGTGGGGAACCCCTTCACTCGGCGACGGCAGGTTTCAGATAAAAAAATCCACCATTCGCTCGTATGGGCCAAAATTCCAAAGAGTCGACGCACCAGGATTGCCGTGAAACTGCCCTCAAAACCGGACTTTTAAAAGCACAAGCGAGATGAGAGGTGGCTGAAGTGCTCATTGCATGTTTATGAGCTAACTGCGCTCGCGGCGCGGCCACTTGGCATGTGGCTATTTGAAGGAGAACTGCACAATTCAACCATTCGCTCCTCTTAAAACCCTTCCACGTGTGTTAGCTCCAAATGTACTCACACTATTTCTACAGGTCCAAATTGGAAAAGCTTCTCGCTCCGCCGTCTGACCACTTTACACAGAAAAGAAACGACCCCCACCGCAACTTTGAGCCCGACTCCGGCGCGCCGCCTCTCGGGGGCTCACCGTGTTCATCGAGGTAGGCCTGTAGGCGCGCAACCAGGTCGCCTTTGTTGCCTTTGGTCTCCAGACCTCGCGCGTCGCACTCTTGCCTCAGCTCAGCAAGCTGAAAGCCAACAGAGAAACATTCACAAATGCTTGCAATTGTGCGTTTTGAGGAGCATCCGTTGCTCGGGTTCACGAGACATCGCAATCCTGTTCGCCCTCAACACACGATCTCTGTGTTTGTTGCTCCATCGGCGGTCCGTCGGCTCCTTTTCTGCATCGGTCCGTTCGGCGGGTGCGGAGCTGAAACCGAAGCTGCACGAGCGCGTTCCCCGATGTTGAACCTTGAACCTTCTTGGCAGATCTTGCCTAGGGCTTCAGTCGGAATTTGGCACGACCTTCAAAGTTCGTTGGAACATCGATGTGTCCCTCGGTGTTTTGCAAAATGAACAAACGTAAATGCGTGCTTCTCAATCATGCCTTCCGTCCACGAGAGCAAACCAGGTGTGTCCGCTTCAGGTCACTTGCATGAAAGGTTTGTTTTGATCTTAACAGGAAATCTCACTAAATGCTTTAAAACAGATATTACAACTTGAGCATTGTTTTCACCAGATCCCTCAAATGAGTGTCTTGAAAGGCGCTTAGAAATGAAATGTATTATTATTGTTATAAATATTAATTGAACAACAGTCGTCATGTCAAGATTAAAAAAAAAATCCGACCAATTAAACACGTGTGTGTGTGTGTGTGTGTGTAATATATATACACACACACACACACACACACACAAAGCGTGAATAATAATATAAGAGGTGAGATTTGTTTTTCAGTGCTCAACTTAACTTCGACGTGAGCCGGCAAAGATTGACTTTTCCACCCCATTTAACCTTGACCCACTGGCACTTAGTGCTCCCACTTGCGTTGTTCTTCAGTCCGCAAAGTGGGACCTTCTGAGTACTATTTGGAAACATAACTGGCGTGTTTCGCGCTTGGGCGGAGAACGCTCGACAACGTGAGCACACGCTTAGCTTTAGCATTAGCATGGGCAGCCGGTCTCTACACATTACACCGACGCGACCGCTTTGGCTTTCTCTCCGCCCGAACGGAGAACACGGGAGTGATCAACCAACTCCCCGTTCACCAAACAATTGTCAAAGCTAGACATCCGCACTCCGACATTCGAAATTAAATGGCACGACCAACCTTGAGTTTGTGCAGCTCGATCACTTCAGCCATCTTTCTTTGTTGATCAAGTCCTCCCTCCAATCAAAGCGCTTCTTCCGCTGCCGCCGTTTCTTTCTTCTTCTTCTTCTTCTTCTTCTTCTTCTTCTTCTTCTTCTTCTTCTTCTTCTTCTTCTTCGTTCTTCTTTTTCCTCAATCTTTGGCGGACTGCAGGTAACGGTCAAGTGCATACCGCCACCTACTGCACACGCGTGTGCAATACTTATGTCCCCAACCTGTAAATTTTTGAGCAAGTTGGTTGCTGTCAAAAATGTAATAAGTGTTTCCCTCACACGCCTGACTTTATCCCCTTCCCTTCTCCAAGAATCCCCTCATTACAAAAATAAATAAATACATGAAAGGATTTTTTTAAAATCCGTAAAATTCAAATTCCACACATGCAGTCAAAGTCTTGGCCTTCTTGTTCTGGCAGGCACCGATCGATTCAAAGTCCTTAGAAAATACCAAAAACAAAAGTGGTTTGTGATTTCCAAATCTACATTGATGTATGTAAAACTCATATAAGCAGATTCATCACAGGGACTTTCTCACGATCGTCTTTTTTTTACTCTTGGTAAAATAACCCAAAAGTGCTCATAAAACAAAGCAATAAGTCTTGCTCCAGCCTTCCGTCGTCTCACAGTTGGCTGACATTGCCAGAACGGACGCGATACGACCGGTTTCAGGAGAAGCCCAGCAAAAGGAACAACTGGCAGATGTCAACAACAACTTTGAATGTTTTCAGAGGGTAAATTTTGTTTCCAATTTTAAACGAAACCTCTCCAATTTTGTTGGGATTCCAAAACTTGTGGGTCACAGCTTTTCAAAGCAAGTCGCCACGATTCTTTGAGTTCAGACAAAGACCCGAGGCTCCTAGAAAAATACTGTACCTCTACGGTGTCAATGGCAGGTTTCACCCGCAGACCTTTTCTTCAAACTAAAGCGGTCTCGACTGCCGGTTGCCTTCGGGTAACATTTGTCCCACAAATGCAGTTTGCTCGCCTTTGTTGAGTGACAGAACATTTGTGCAGAAACAAGAAACAGATACGGGACACTCTTGTCTTGTGCATTTTCCAAACAAATTCTTGGCGTGTTTCCATTTCCACACAAAAATACAAGTGGGAGATTTTATTGAATTCATATCACTGAAAAAGAGTGGATGGATCCGCATGGACGGGCGCCTCGCTGAGTTAGCAACGGTCTGTGCTGGGACGCCCAGCGCCGCTTTGTGCCACTCGCTTGTGGACAACTGGACCGACAGATTTGGACCTGGCATGTCAACTCTCATTATGCTTGCTAAGATCAGCACCAGAATTTCAAATTGTCCTATGTCATAAAAACCGTGTGAAATCATCTCGAAGTGTACTTGCACCTCGGATTTCAAAAAAAGTTGACCAGGAAATAATGAAGTGTGCGGTTCACCACTGACGCTTTTTGCCAGTCAAAGTCGATTGTAACCAACCAAAGGATGGAAAAATGCTGACATCATCGGGGACCAGTGAGGATGAATTTGAAATGTGATTGGTTTAAAAAAAAAAAAAAAACACATCCTTTGCTAATGGAGCTGAAGTTAGGCGGGCTGGCGCGACTGATTTTGAGGTGGACTGATGTGACGAGACAAAAACGGAATTTGACCTTAGCTGACATTTGTCGAGAGCTGCGGCGAAAGACTCAAGCCTGCCCGGTCCCGGCGATGAGGCAGTGTGTTGGCGTGCTATGACGTTGAAGTGAGATTCACACGCAGCCACCGAGGAGACGTCAACATTTCCACATTTGAGCCTTCCTATCTCGATGGCCCGACCTTGGGTTCCGTTCGATTCGTCTGCACCCGTGGCGCAACGCCAATCAAAATATTCTGATGATGAGGAAGAAACACACCTTTTTTTTCTCTCTTTCTTTCTTTCTGCCAAGTGGTTGAATACTGCTTCGTGGTCGACAATTTGAAAAAGCAAGACTCCGTCCCCCAAAACATCCCGTTGGGAGCTTTATTTTCCAAGCGGTTGATCAAACAAGTCGACAGTACTGCCGCGCGCTGAAAACTTTGCACACGGACGGTCCCGCGGCAAAGTCGGGCTTCTCACCGCGAAGAGGCACCGTCGCGGACTCAGGGCTGCATGCGAATGGCGCCGTCCAGCCGAATGACCTCGCCGTTGATCATGGGGTTCTCGGCCAGCGCCGTCACCAGGTGGGCGAACTCGGCCGGGTCGCCGAGGCGCGAGGGGAAGGGCACTTGGCGAGCCAGGAAAGAGCGCACCTTCTCCGGCAGCCCGGCCAGCAGCGGGGTGGAGAACAGACCTGGGGGCAGCAAATTCACGCATGACGCTCCAAAAACAAACAAACAAAGCACCTTCGCTCTTCTGCGTAGGTTCAAGCCCATCACACATTCGCTTGCCTCTTCAAGATGGTTACAATGAACGACATTCGCGGTTCACACATGCCCAAAATCAACGGGTGGGGAGCGAAACACCCCCCCCCCCGACTTTCATATATTTGAAGTTGGGCCGCAAATAATGATGATTATAATAAGAGATTCACCAGTCAGTTATTTGTTCGATTAATTGAATAAAAGTGGGAGGGGGGGAAATCCCCTTCTTCACGACGAGGACATTATTTGAAATCGACGGGGCAGAAAATGCACAAACAAAAAATGATTGCAGTTCAGTGAAAATTATTCATTCATTCATTTTCTGAACTGTTTTCCAAAAACGTGGCAGCAAAAAAAAAAAAAAAAAAAAAAATTGAATAAGAACCCCCCCACCTGGGCCCACCCTCAAAAAATGCAAATGAGCCCCAAGAGCGATTCTGACATGATTGCGCGGAACAAAGTGTTTTCATGCTGCTTTCCTCTTGAAGGATCGTCGCCATTCCGGGAGCTTTGCGGAACGTGATGCGGGCCAACCTACCCGGCGCAATGGTGACCACCCTGATGCCCATCGGGGCCAGATCCCTCGCGATGGGAAGGGTCATTCCAACGATGCCCCCTTTGGACGCCGAGTACGCCGCCTGGCCAACCTGCATGCCACACAAAAACCAAAGATCCGTATTTAAATGCTGCCCGGTCGTCGTCTTCTTCCGACAAACCTTTGCGGGCCCTGATGGCAAATACACTCAGGTGGAAAAAAAAAACAAAACATGGATGACTGAAGCGCATGAGATATTCTACGGCTCTGTCTTTTTTTTTTTTTAACCACCATTTCAGTGGAGTTTTTGACGCCATCTGAAAGGTGGCGCTCATTTTGTCAGCCCGTACGAGCTCATTGGGGAGGATTCACTTTTTAGTCAATTGGAGAAGAGCTTGCCCAGGGAGCAGACTAAATAAAAGGCTCATGGAAAGATGGTGAGAAATAATTCAGTTCAACTTTGGTTGATTTTTTTTTTCTCCCAAAAAGCCAGTCTTTCCCCATGCAAGAAATTCATTTTTTTCCCAGAAGCCCTCATCTGATTTAAAAAAGGTTTCCCCGCCGCGCCGTCCGCCAGTTGAAGCGGCCGTTCCAAGCCGACGCCCCGCGGTCGCCCCGAGGCTAAAAACGCCCGGCCTCAAAACAGGCGGCAAAGTGTGGGCGAGCCCGGCGCCGATGGATCGGAAGGGGCCCAAAGCGGACGCCCGCCGCGGCTCACCTGCCCGTCAAAGGCGGCCACGCTGGCGGTGTTGACGATGCAGCCCCGCTGGCCGTCTGCGTCCGGCTCGTTTTTGGCCATGGCTCCCACCGCCAGACGAATCACATTGAAGGTTCCTGCGATGTTCACCTGCACCGCACAGTCAAAGGCCGTCACGATCGACTTTTTTTTTACACCCCTCCCTTTTCAGCAATAGCCCAGATAGCGCCGCTCCTGAAAAAAGCCGTTCTACTCGTGTTTGCAGGAGCGAGCGTGTGTACAGATCAACACATTCAATGCCAAGGACATTTGGGGGGGAAGAATCCAGGCATTCCACCCCATCACACATCTCTTTCTTTCTATTTTGAAATGCTTTTGTTTCTTTGATTTTTCACACGGCAGGGTGAAGGCGGGGATGAAAATGACTGTCACCAATCGGGCACAAAGCTCTTACATTGATGACGCGCTGGAAGTCGTCCAAGCTGTGGGGGAGCTCCTTCTTGAAGTTGTACGTTTTGACGGCGACCGCGATGCCCGCGCAGTTGACGGCCAGGTCCAATTTACCAAACTTGTCTCGCGCCAAGTTCACGGCGGACCGCACGTCCGCCTCCGACGTCACCTGCGGGACAAGAGCGGGGACGCATCACGCGCGGAACCTCCTTTGCGCTCTCAAAGCAAAGGACGCTCGCGACTCGAGACCCTTGCCGTGGAAATGGAGGGCCGCAAATGGGGAGGCGGCGAGATTAGTTAGGGCCGGCCGGGGAAAGTGTCGCGGCGAGTCATCGGTGTACTTGCATCCGCCGGAGCGAAGGCGCATCGGTCTCCCAGAGCGGCCGCCAGCGGCGG